CTTTCTCACTCTTTCTCTCTCTCTGTCTCTCTCTGGTCAAATTAAAATAAATGAATAAATAAATAAAATTAAATAAATAATTATATATATTTTTTTAAAAAGACCTTTAACCATGATTTAGCATTGAAGAAGGTTACTGTGGACCAGCGAGTGGCCTGAAGGTGAAGGAGCTGGATCCCACATGGCCGACTGCACAGTTCAAGTCCCAGACCTGTCGGCTTGAAAAATGCAGGGGACATGCGTGCTTGCCCAAAATCCTGAGAGGAGAATGGAGAAGGGATTGTGGCATGGCCACTCCTTCTGGGGGTGATCATTTCTCATTTCCTTCTTTCTCTCTCTCTGTCTCTTCCTGGCAAGAGCATATGCCCTATGGGAGCAGGGGGGAAACTAAACTAAAATAGAGGAAGAGCAAAAAGAAGAGAATAAAAACATTGTTGTGCTGTCCAGGTGGAGCGCCCACAGCAGGAAAAGACAGCCAGAGAAGGGCTGTCCAGGGAACAGCAGTTAGCGTAATGGTTATGTTGCTGGACTCCCACGTAGTCGACCACAATTCGAATCCTGAACCTGGTGGCTTAAACTCATGTCGGGCGTGTGCGTGTGGGTGCCCAAGATCCCCAGGGGAGAACGGAAGAGGAGGGACTGCAGTGTGGCCATCCCTCCTGGGGGGTGATTTCTCGCTTTCTGTCTCTTTGTCTCTCTCTATCTCTCTGGTGAGTGTACATGCCCTATAGCAAAAACCTCTCAAAAAAAAAAAAAGGAAGAAGAAGAAGAGCTGTCCACAGGTGGCACTCAGGGCCACCTGGCTTGGCTTCCATGAGAGGCAGCTCTGAATTCATATTGCCATTGTTCAAATCCCCGCTCACCACTTATGGGGAGAGTTACTTTCCTCATTCCTGAGACAGGAATACTAACACTGGTACCTTCCTGATAGGGTTGTGGGGACTATGACATCAGTTTAGGACGGTGCCTGGCACATAGCACGTGCAATAGGAATGTGCTCAACTCTGCCCAAAAAAGGTGTGATACGGCGGCCAGCAGATGGCGTAACACTTACATCGCTGGACTACCACATGGCCGACCACGGTTTGAGTCCCAGACCCTGTGGCCTCAGAATCATGCTGGACGTGTGTGCTGTGTGCCCAAGATCCTTGGAGAATAGAGGAGAAGGGAATGTAGCATGGCCATCCCGCTTGGGAGGTGATTCTTACCTTTCCTCTCACTGTCTCTGTCTCTCTGTCTCTCTGCAAGCACACCCACGCTAAGGCAAAAACTTCTTAAAAAAAGTGATACTTTTATTGTTGCACAACTGCCAACTGTGACTTCCACTTGGTCCTCTTGACAATTGCGGCACGTTTCCAATTATAGTGGGAAGCCCTGCCTCCTCCTGACAGAGCCCTCCCCCTGCCTGCCACATCATCCTTTCTCATCACCACTCAAATATGCCTGAGTGGTTTGGTTTTATGTTTTGTTTTGTTTTGTTTTTTTAGATTTTTGCCATAAGGAGCTTGTGCTCACCCAAGAGAAAAGTGAGAAATCCCCCCCCCAGGGGGGATGGCCACACTGCAATTCCTTCTCCTCCTTTCTCCTCTCCATTGGGCACACATATATATCCACCTGGTGTGTTTTTCAAGCTGCAGTTCCAGGACTCGAACTATGGAGTTGGCCATGTGGGATCCAGCACCCCAGCCATCATGCTGCCTGCTGGTCCCTATGCCTGAGTCTGTCCTCATGGTGTCCCATCTGCCGAGAATGCCCTTCCCGGTCCTCCTCACTGTCTGTAAAGCCTGTGTTCACCTGTAAGACATGTTTCAATGCCACCTCTACTAGAGAGCCTTCCTGATGGCCTAGGCAGTGGCCAACTCCTTTCTCAGAGCTCCCAGTCACTCCCTCGTGACAGTGTGTCACCCTGAATTGTCCCCCACTAGACTGTAGGCCCCTAAAGGCACAGTGATCTGTCTCCTAGGTAGCTCTCACACTCCTAACGCACAGTAAATGCTAAAAGATGTTTGTTGACTGAATAATGGGACGAACAAACAGAGAAACATTGTGAGCGTGTGGGGCTTAAAATGCAGTTGATTCCCCAGACCCAAAGTGGGAAGCCAGGGGTCCCATGACATCCCAGGGTCATCCACCGCCCCCACCTTCATCAGGATGGGGATCTGTCTGCAGACCCAGCATGTGGCACCAGCTGAACACCTTGTCCAACCCCACCACCACCCCAGCGACACGGCCTAGCATGCACCTGTCCCTAAGAGGCTACGTACCGGGGAGAAGGGGGACATCTGCAGGCCACATGGGAAAAAACAGGGGTTAGATTGGTACAAGAGGGGTCTCACTAACCCAGAAATCCCCTTTTTATCCCAGACCCCCCCACGTTCCAGCTAGGTACCCACCCTGCCGCCTTCTCAGCATCTTGTCCAGAGCTCTGTGAGGCTCTTACTCTGAGGCCTAATACTTAGTTACCCCTCCCACCCACCGAAGGGCTCTGGGTGCAGCTGGCTACATGCAGTGTAGGGGCAAATTCTCCATTCTCCCTGCCACCCTGCCATGGGGCCTGCATACTTGACAGTCAGGTGGCGGCTTCTAGGCCCAGATGAGGGCGGGCCCTTGCTGAGATCTTCCACCGACTGCTCCAAGGGCTTGCTCTTCTCCGAGTTAGGGGCCCCGTTGTCTGTGCTCTCCATGTCATACCTGGGGACAGGACGCAGTGGGGTTGGAGGCCAGCACTGCAGATGGCACTTGGCGGGGGGGAGACGGAAGAAACCGCAGGGACAGGCAGATCTGCAGGAGAGACCAGGGCACTGGAGAGGAGGCTGTGTCCTTGCTGTTGCAGTGAGTGTAGTGCGGGGAGAAGGGACGTCCCTCCCTGTCCAGGACAGGCCTTCGAGAAGGGGCACCACTCAGGGCCAAGTGCACGGATTCCAGGGTGGACTTGGGCTGCACTGCTTAGAACTGGCCAGAGGAGTGGGCAAGGCATGGGGAGCAACAACCGAGGTTCAGCAATGAGGGCTGGGGACAGGGGCTTACGTGACGGAGCACTGGGCAAAGGCCAGGTACTCAAGGAGCACATCCAGGCCGCGGTTCTCCTCGTTGAGGAACTCCTGGACCCACCTGTGGGCACAGTTTTCCCTGAGGTCCAGCCAGGGAGGAGGGGCTATCCCCAGTGGGCACAGAACTGGCACAGCAAGGGTCCCTGGGGTGCTCTTCCCCCAAGAAGACACCAACACACCCCCACCTCAGGAGACCCATGATGCCAGAGTAGGTGAGGGGCCCAGGCAGGGCCCACAGCCAGAGGGTGGGCAGGAGGGGAGAAAGAGGGGAAGCTGTCCTGGACACCCACCAGGAGGTGACGACAGGCACCTGCCAAGGACAGGGGAGGAGGCAGGGAAGCCCAAGGGCTGCCTGGAGGCAGAGGGATCTGGGCCTGGCTCACCCAATGTGGTTTGTCCTCAGGGAGGTCTCCAGCTCCCGCAGCACCTGCGTAGACTCCTGAACCCTCCTCTTAAACTGGGGGTCGAGAACAGGGGAGTCTGGTGGGTGGAGCCTGGCCTTTCATAGGCCGCCAAATCCTGAGCAGCAGCCAGCAGCACCCGCCCTCCCACCGCTGGTGTGTGGCCTTTCACGCTCAGCCTCCCCCACCACCTCCACACACCTGCCCAGCAGAAGGAGCTCTCACGGACTAGGTGAACTGGCACAGCAAGGCTCCCTGGGTGCCACACCATGCACAGACACTCAGGATACACACATGCAAGATGCACACACATGTACACACACATTCAAATGTGAATGTCATGGGTGCACAGCACACACACACGTACACACACTCAACATGAATATCCTGGGTGCACACACACACAATCTCTCTCCTATTCAGACTCAGGATACACACATCAAGATGCACACACATGTACACAAACGTGAACGTCATGGGTGCACACACACACATATACACAACATGAATATCCTGGGTGTGCACACACACAGTCTCTCTCCTATTCATGGACTCAGGTACACACATGCACATCCAAGCATAGACACAAAAGTATACACATGATACATGCATCTGTGCATGGACACATGGGTACACATGAGTGCACACAAGTGTACCCATGAAAGCACAGGTAGCATCCCAAAAGGCCCCTGGAAAAGTATACACACTCAGGGCACACTCGATGCCCAACAAACACATACACATGCACACTCACATACACTCACGCGAAAAAGTTTATACACACACGCCAGATACCCAGAGCGTGGAGGCTCAGAGAAAGAGACAGCGGAAAGCGGAGGTGCGTACCCCCAGGTTGGACATCCAGTCAGTGGCTACCTTACGGCTGACCCCACCAGTGTCCAGGTAGCTCTTCAGCTTCTGGATGTAGGCTGCAGGGGGGTTCTTGACTTGAAACCGCTCCTGTGGAGAGGGGATGGGGTGTACAGGGAACCAGCCAGAGCTACCCCAGGCATACATCTGACCTGGGGTCCCAGGCTATCTTAAAATGATCCACCAGCTCACATTAAAAACCTGCCAGGGACCAGCAGATGGCGTAATGGTTATGTCACAGGACTCCCATGCAGTCGACTGTGGTTTGAGTCCCAGACATGGCAGCTTAAACCTCACACCGTGCATGTGTGCCCAGGATCCCAAGAGGAGAATGGAGGAGAAGGGATTATGGCATGGCCATCCCCCCGAGGGGTGATTTCTTGCTTCCTGTCTCTTGGTGAGCATACATGCCCTATAGCAAAAATCTCTTTCAAAAAAATTAAATTAAAATTAAAAATTAAAGCCTGCCAGTCCTAGCCTGCCCTCATTGGCCACAGCCCTGGCTCTGCCTTGCCATAGGCCCCTCCCCAGGAGGTGGGGTGGCATGGGTCCTCAGCAGCTATAGGAGGTATCCTCTAGGCCTCCACCCTCCTGGACCGGAGCTGGGAGTACAAGGAGGAGGAACACGCTAAGGGGCCTCCCCAGGACGCGGCCCCCAGCTGCCCTGTCCACCTGTGGAGCAGGTAGTGCTTGTGTATATTCCTCTCCTGTGTTCAATAAATCACCTCCCGCGAAATAGCACAGAGAGGCAGGGAACTCCCACCTAGAGGGCTCCCATCCTTCCTAGTTGAAACCTCAGATATACCCAGCCACCCCTCAACCTTCCATTTTGCCCAGGCCTTTGAGCCCCCAACCTCTTAGATGTAGGGGGTCTACAGCAGGAACCCCAACGACAGCCTCAGAGCCTCTGCAGGCGCCTCCCCAATGCCTTCCACGACCCTGCCCACCAGCTTACTGCCCAGCCAGCTCAGCCAGCTCCTTCCATTAGCTGGAGCCCAGGCCCAGCCCTGGCTCCCAAGGGAGGCTCTGGGCTCCCCAACTCCCCACCCCCATACTCCACAGCCTCAGGCTTCAAGGCAGCTCTGGCCTCCCTCCTCCACCAGATCACTGCGGCAGCCAGGCCCCACCCGCCCCAGCAACCAGCAGGGTTCTCCTGAGGCCACAGGCCCTGGAGGTGGAGGGGCAGGGGCTGCTGAGTGAACTGCAAAGGCAGGGACCCGGGCACCGGGCTAAGCACAAGACAGCATCTGACCTGGCTGGCCTTGGGGAGTTGCTGGTCAGGCATCTCCTCCAGACCCAAGGTGAAAGGAGGACAGGGATTCCTGCCCTTTCTTCCCCATATCCCATTCCCAGCCACAGCCTCCCTTATCCAGCCCAGAGCTGGAGGGTCAGCAGGAGGATGGTAGCATGGTCCTACTACATTGGCCAGTGCCCCTGGACCAGCCCCTGCCAGCCTTTTCAAGGGCACGCCCAACCTTGCTCATGACTCACAAGGATTCTGAGGAAGCCCGTGTTCAAGAGGAGGGGGAATCCAGAGTCCTGTAAATGCCCCCAGAACCCTCCCCAGGTGCTGCATTGTCCTCTGGACAGGGGACTGGCTCTGGGGCAGCATGACAATGCCAGCCCCACCTGGTCAGGGCAGGGTGCCCCAGTGAGGGAGAGAAGGGGCAGTTGTATCCTGGTACTCACCTGGTCACAGATGAGCTCCCACTTCTTCTCGTTGTCATACTGGCTCAGTAGCTGGACCTTGTCTGGAGGCAGGTTCATGCAGTTCTGGGGGGTGTGGGGAGAGGACCAAGTAAAGACCTCTGAGCCTGGGGCTCTGACATGAGGGGAAGGGGAGAATGCATCTTTTCAGGGAAGCTGCTGTGCTCCCTATGCGGCATACACCTACCCTCTCACCCTGGGGCTGGTATCCTTATCCAGTGAGAAAGGCCAGGCCCAGAGAGGGAGAGCATGTTTCCCAGGGCCCAACAGCTAGAAATGACAGGAGGATTTGAATCCAAGTCTGCCTGGCTTCTGTCACCCCCTCCACCTGGCACACCTGGCATGGAGGCAAGTGCCTGGGTTCTCGGCCTAACTTCCTGAGGACCTCAGACACCCAACTAGGCTGGGCTCCAGTTTGGCATCACCTCCTGCCTGATTCAAGTGGGAAACCAATAGGTTCGGAGGGCTTGGTTGGGTGTGTCCTCCAGTGTTCATGCATTAGAATTATTTATTTATTTTATTTTATTTATTATTATCATTCCTTAATTTGACCAGAGAAAGACAGAGAGAGAAAGAGGGAGAGTGAGAAAGCAAGTTATCAGGTCCAGGACTCGAACCGCAGTCGGCCATGTGGGAGTCCAGTACCTTAACCATCACACCACCCGCTGGCCCCATACATTGGAAACTTAATCCCCAGTGCGACACTGGTGAGAAGTGGGACCTTTTAGAGGTAATTAGGTCACGAGGGCTCTTCCCTCATGAATAGACTAGTGCCGTTATTGCGTTATTGCATTCTTGTGGGAGTGTGCTCCTGATAAAAGAGTGAGTTTGGTATCTCTCTCACTCCCTCTCTCTCTCCCTCTT